AAAATAATAATAATAATAATAATAATAATAATAATAATAATAATAATAATAATAATAATAATAATAATAATAATAATAATAATAATAATAATAATAATAATAATAATAATAATAATAATAATAATAATAATAATAATAATAATAATAATAATAATAATAATAATAATAATAATAATAATAATAATAATAATAATAATAATAATAATAATAATAATAATAATAATAATAATAATAATAATAATAATAATAATAATAATAATAATAATAATAATAATAATAATAATAATAATAATAATAATAATAATAATAATAATAATAATAATAATAATAATAATAATAATAATAATAATAATAATAATAATAATAATAATAATAATAATAATAATAATAATAATAATAATAATAATAATAATAATAATAATAATAATAATAATAATAATAATAATAATAATAATAATAATAATAATAATATAGTATGTATGTGGATTCAACAGAAAAAGAATATGAATGAAAATTGAAACCACTAGATTTTGGGTACTTCTTGAAAGTAACTAGAAATGGTGTTGATGATTTAATCTATTAAATTACAAAAGAAAAAAAAAATCGAGAATGTCCAAAATAGCACAAGGGCCGAAATGAACAAAGAATAATATTTTGTAGTCAATGATCAATTTTAAACTAGTATTGTTTTAAGGATCTGATTTAATTTATAAACTAATTTTTTTCTTCAAAATATTACCATGTTCTACCTTTAACATTAAGAATGAGACAAATTTATGGTAATAAATTATTAATAAAAATGATATAAAAATATTAATTAAGAGTATTATTAAACAATTAGTTAAGTTTTAATTAAACAAATTACAAAGATACTTATTTTAAAATGAATAAAGTGTATGTGTAAATTATATTAAACTAATACATATTATGAAAATAATAATAAAAAATTAATAGTAATTACTTTTATAAATTTATTTTAATCGATATTCACTCACCGACATAATTTAACCATTCTATTACTGTTCCGTGCATCGTATGAGCTACATACTAGTTTCGTATAATTTTTTCTATCAAATCTTAAAAGTATTAGTAAATCTCCGTGTCAAACAAAATACAATGTATTTTGTTAAGATTTTTTGAAATATTAAATGAATAACTCATAATTTTTAAAAGTCTTAAAATCTAAATTAAATACAAGATTCTTAAAGTTCCAACAAACCTTTCTAATTAAATACACCATCCTTAATAAATTCTAAAAAATCCTAATAAAATACAACGCCCTTTCCCATTAAATACACCATCCTTAATCAATCCTAAAAAATCCTAATAAAATACAACGACAAATAAAATGAATAATAAATCTTAAAAAATCCAAATAAAATATAACAACAATTAAAATTAATACATCATGACTTTAAAATATATAAAATTTCAAATGAACATACTCCAAAAAAAAAAAAAATCTAAAGTTTAAATTAGATATACAAAAAAAATAAATTTAAATACATATATTTTCTAAATATGAACGAACAATTCAGGATTACACTTTCATCTTGGATACTTGGATTAGAGCATCTCCAATGTGGTTTTTTGACTTCATAAAAATTCATCCATATCATCAACTTTTGAAAGTGTATTACTAATTTATTCTCCAATGCATATTGTCATGAACTCTTTCATGATGAGGTGGATAGCATTTAATGTTGACAATGTTGAACACACTTTCTAATATCTAACACCATGTTAAACATGATGACTAATCAATTCACTTTATATTTGATTTAATTTTTTATTGTTCTTGTATTAATGATTATTTTAATTGGTCACATATACAAATAACTTTTTATCAAATTGATGCATTGGAGATAATAGTTTGATTCAAATTTCTACTCTTTTAACATTATTCCTACATGGATTAACATTACAATCATTGATTGACATGTGCTAAAAATCATTGTCTTTCAAAGTTATATAATTGGAGATGCTCTTAAAGTGAGGTAGTAGAGGTTGAATTGAGATTATTATTTGTCCGCATAATTAGAGGTTTCACAAAAGCAAAATAACCAATATAACCATCCTGATTCCTGAACCCTAACCATATCTCCAATAATCCTTTTCCTCAGGATCGATTGCTGAAGAGGGTTTCGACCTCTTTCGAAACTCTTGATTCTACAACCAGGGTGAGCGATTGTGCCCTAATATTCAATAGAATTGATTCTTATAATGGCAGTTTATTTTCATTGTGATTATTTGAGCAGTGGAAAACTTATGATTTTAATGCATTATCAGATCGGCTCCCAGCGTAAAGATAGTTTTCTTCTCTTAATCAACGTAGCTTAATTGAATTTCTAAGGTTATGGCAACTGTTCTTTTTCTCATGACGATATCTGCTATCAGGACTGCGTCTGAATTTTAGGGGAAAAACTTAGTGCATGATTTTCACCGATGAGTTTGGTAGATTGGCTTTTGAAATTTGTTTCTGATGCTGTTAGGGGAAATTGAATTGAAACGTGATTGAAATTTGTTTCTGAACATAAGAACATTGTTATTTATGAACTTTGTGGGAAATGTAATTTAATGACGGAGCCTTATTGTAGATATTGCCAAATGAAATTCACAGTAGGTTAATATGGTTAATATTACAAATTGATAATTCAGTTGAAGTTTGTTTATTCATCTTTACCTTCTGTGCATGTATATTATTCTTCTAGCAATATACAATATCGGGCTCATAAAGTCTGCTTTCGATGGTTTGATGAATTCAATTGTGATATCCCCTTGTACTACACACTAAATTTGAATTCTTTAGTGCGTTTAACGTGTGGAATGGCCACTGTCGAAGCACCCCCTGGTATGCTTGGGCCCAGATATGCTCCGGATGATCCAACTCTACCCGAACCTTGGAAAGGTTTAATTGATGGAAATACCGGTGTGATGTATTACTGGAATCCCGAAACAAATGCTACTCAGTATGAAAAACCACCACCCTTGCCGTCTGGGCCTCCGCCTGCAGCTCCCACACCTAAGATGAATCCCTTGCCTGCAACGAGATCATCTCAACCAGACAATATTCAGACACCACAGAATCAGCAGACGGTACAAACTCAGGTCACGCAAGGGCAACTTACGAGCTCATCCTTTCAGCAGCCCGTGCAACAGGGGTTTACACAGCCTATGCAGCCAGGGCAGCAGCAAGCTCCTTATCAACTGATGCAGTCGATGCCTCATGTTCCGCAAGGACAAACGTACCCTGGTGCTCAGATGGGATCTCAACATGGTTTTCAATTTACCCGTCAGCCTACACAATACACGGTTCATCAACGGAACATGCCTCCACAAGGGCCACAGAGCTCCTCACAACAATTGCCTCACCAAGAGCGTAAAACAGAGCATGGTCAGATAGAAAGTAATGATTTTCATCAAGCAAAGCAACCAGGGTTTGCGCAAGCCAATCAAAATTTTATTCAGGGGAAGCAATCTTCTTACCCGCGAGATCGGAAAAGCGGTACCCCTTATGGAGATGATGTTGAGTATCAGCAAGTAAAGCATGCTGGGCTTTCACCTGCACAGATTCAGAAAACTGGGATGCCACCATTACAGAACATGTCCTCAGGAGTCAATTCACCTCATGGACATAAGATGAGCATTCAACTAAATCAATCTGTGGAATACAGTGGACGACATGCTAATATGCAACGGAATAACCCGTCTATTCATATGCCCCAAACAGGTACAGAATCAACACACCTGCACCATGGTTCTAGGTTTCAAAATCAAATGGGCCCTGGGATGATTCATGGCCAACAGCAGAATCTTCCACATCCTGGATCAAAGATGCCCTATGAAGAAAACCATCTTGGAAGGCCTGGAAATGAATATTTCTATAATACCGCCAAGGATGTCAAGGCAGTGTCTCCTCAGCTACCCAAGCTCTCACCACTACCACCTTCAGCCAGAAATCAACAGGTTATTTGTTCTATGAATGCTCAATATTTGTTGGTTATTAGGGTTTGAGCATAGAAAGATATTGTACTTGAATATTCATCTGTGTCTGCCACACACACACACAAGAATCTGCATGCAATATGCCTTATACGGTATGTTACTTTTTTGTGCTTCATATGGTGAGGTACTCGAACATTTATTGATGTTGTTTCTTCATCTTATCAGGAACTGAGAATGGGTGATTTCACCTCTCAGAATGCCCCACATAGTATTCCTGGCAGATCGAATGGTCCTGGAGGGCCTGCGTTATCTGGTGTTGTCCATGGTAATTCCTCTGGTGCCTCTCCTTATCCGAACAATGCTGTTGTGAGGCCTCCATTATCAATAATGGGACCTTCGGATCCTATGCATCTATCAGCTGCAGAAATTTACCGCCAAAAGCACGAAGTGACAGCCACGGTTTGTAGTTCATTAAATTATTTGTATGGATAGAAACAGTCCTTCACATTGATTCTTATCATTCTTTTCTTCTTCATTGTATCTAAATGTTCTGCNAAAAAAAAAAAGTATGCTTCATTGTGTCAAATAATTTCTCTTTTGGCCAGGTGGATTAGTTAATACTCACTCATTGTAACTAATATGAAGGTTCTTTCTGAAGATGTTATCATAAATTGCTACAAGAAATTATACATTTTTTCTCGATTGTTGGGAAGTTGTATGATAGTTACATGAGGTTAATGCACTGTTCATGGCTTTTGAATATTAACTGATAAGCAAATACTAACACCACAGACTTGTGGGATGCATAGGATGTCTGAATTCTGCTTCTTCAAAATGGTTTGGCTTTTGCAGTATATTTCTTAGTTCTTTATATGCATTCGTCTGTTCACTTGAGTGAAATCTTGTATTTAAAGATTCTTGAGTTGACTTATTTAGGGTGATGATGTTCCTGCTCCGTTTATGACATTTGAAGCTACTGGGTTTCCACCTGAAATACTGCAAGAGGTAAGTACTTGAATGGGAAGTATATTTTTTTTTGGTGGAAATTCCATGATGAAACTTGCTATCATACTTTTATGTTTGAATCACAAAAGCCACACTTTTAGCTTATCAGTTCTAAATTAATGCAGGTGCGATATCTGCTCCAAAAGAGGAGCACATGTCGTACGCTGCAGTGCGTTGCTCATATCAATCCAACAACCATACGGAGTTTGTCTCTCTTTTAGGTTGCAAAATGGACTGATGGGTGCTACATCCAATTCATACTATTTATGTGACTGGGATTTCTAGCGTATTGGCTATGCTGCTTCTCTTTTATTAGCTCCGTTTTTTGCGTCGAGTTGCTTCAGTAAGCAACCGCACACCTGATTTTTAAGCATTCAATTTCCCCTTTTTCTAGTATCAGTTTCCNNCTTTTTTCCTTTTCGAATATTGAATTGCTTAGCGTATAGCTTCAACGCTATTTACTAGAGTTGCTTGCAGAATTTTTAGGTATGTAAAAATGAAAGGACATTTTCTTAAATCTGCTTTATTGTTGCACAGTTACGTTTTGCTGGTTTCTCTGCACCGACACCAATTCAGGCACAGACGTGGCCCATTGCTTTACAGAGCAGGGACATAGTTGCTATTGCCAAGACAGGCTCTGGGAAAACGCTGGGATATTTGATGCCAGCATTCATTCACCTGAGGCGACTACGTAATAATCCTCAGAATGGCCCAACAGTGTTGGTATTGTCCCCAACCAGGGAGCTTGCGACCCAAATCCGGGATGAAGCTATTAAATTTGGTCGATCATCTGGAGTCAGTTGCACGGTATGGCACATTACTACGAAACTGTTTATATGTTCTTTCTAATTTGGTTGAGAAGTGCTCTGACTGTTTCCTTCTCAGTGCCTGTATGGCGGGGCTTCGAAATGCTTCAGTTGGAGGAGCTAGATAGAGGAGCAGATATTGTTGTGGCAACTCCTGGCCGGCTGAATGACATCCTTGGAATGAAGAGGGTTGACTTTAGGCAAGTCTCATTTCTTGTTCTTGATGAAGCTGATAGAATGCTGGACATGGGGTTTGAGCCTCAAATACGTAAGATTGTCAATGAAATTCCTCCAAGAAGGCAAACTCTTATGTACACTGCAACGTGGCCCAAAGAAGTCTGCAAAATAGCAAGTGATCTTCTGATCAATGCGGTCCAGGTCAACATTGGCAGTGTTGATGAACTTGCTGCAAATAAGTCTATTACACAGGTAACTTCTGACATTTTTGTCTTTCACTTTGATGGCGTTCGACTCATATATGAACATCTGAATTGTTGTGCATAACTTGATAATTGATTTGCAAACTACGTTGCACAGTAATTAAGAATCTTATTTTTGCGAATAATAACCCACATTAATGGAGATAGAGATGGATGTTTTGAGAAAAGATGAATAATGAATATGAAAAGACGTAGTGTATTTATTAGCTAAATGAGGGTATAATGGAAAAATGTGTATAAAAGATCCAAAACGTCTGATAAAGCTAAAATGACATTTATTTTTAGTAAGGATTTCATAAGATTAGCATATGTATAACATAACAGTAATCTCGTTTATTGAAACAAATATGGTTCAGCCATCTTATGGTAGTCTTGCGTTGTAACATATTTATTTCCATTTACAAATGAGCGGCCCTCCTCTGCAGTACGTAGAAGTAGTTCCTGTGTTTGACAAGCAGAGACGCCTGGAACAAATTCTGAGATCTCAAGAGCGTGGTTCGAAAATCATTATATTTTGTTCCACCAAGAAGTTGTGTGACCATCTTGCTCGCAATCTTGGGCGTAACTATGGGGCCGCTGCAATTCACGGAGACAAATCTCAGGGTGAGAGAGACTGGGTTCTGAATCAGTTTCGGAGTGGGAAGTCCCCTGTCCTGGTTGCCACCGACGTTGCTGCTCGGGGCCTTGATATCAGAGACATAAGGTTTTCATAATTTTAACATTAATATTATCTCCCTATCATTTTGTTCCTTCCTAGTCAGAAACAATTTTACGTTTGTGATTTTAATATGAACAGGGTAGTTATCAATTACGATTTCCCCACCGGGATCGAGGACTACGTCCATCGCATCGGGAGAACCGGGCGAGCTGGCGCCACTGGGATCGCTCACACGTTCTTCTCTGAGCAGGACTGGAAGCACGCTCCCGATCTCGTCAAGCTCCTCGAGGGCGCCAATCAAGCCGTGCCTCCCGAGGTAAGGGACATAGCCATGTGCGGTGGGCCCACCTTCTCTCGGGACCGTGGCCCCGTGAACCGTTACGACTCCTCTGCTGACGGTGGCCATGGACGTGGTGGCCGCTGGGATTCTGGCGGCCGTAGGGGCGGAAGGGACAGTGGCTTTGGCGGCGGCCGTGGTGGTTGGGAGAGGGGAGGTCGTGTGGGCCCGCACGAGCGGTTCAACAGTTTGGACACGCGGGGCCGGGGCAGGGGACAGGGCAGGGGTCGGTTTGACGGTCGGGATAGGAGTAGGGGCAGAAGCTACAGCTCAAGCCCTGAGAGAGTGAGAACGTGGGGTGGCTATAGCCGGAGCCGAAGCAGGAGCAGGAGCTGGTCACGAAGCAGAAGCAGGAGCAGGAGCTGGTCACGAAGCAGAAGCAGGAGCCGGAGCCCGAGAAGTCGGAGCAGGAGTTATGAGAGGTATGAGAGGAGGCCACGTGTATCGAAATTCGACGTGATGGATCCGAATGCGGAAGTGAGTGTCCCTGTAGGTGTAGGTGCAGGTGCAGGCAGAGGGAATGGTGGAGCCTCGGGGGCTGAGTCAGCTGAGCAGGTTCCCTCTGTTGACCCAAACAATCAGCCTTTTCAACCTTAGAGGTGCGGTTTGTCATTGAGGTATTAGTATATAGTAGTTAGTTTCCTGCTTACTACAGTTTGGAGGTGTTTTATTGAATTTTAAGACAGTTGTTGCATACAATAAACTGTTGATTTTGGTCTCAGCAGGGGAATCCGACAACTGTGACTCGGGACTCTTGGAAAGCTAGCCGACTGGCTTACGGTGGTCTTTAGATTTTTGGTGGTGCTAATTTTTGAAGTTTTGTGATTGATGTGTGATCCCTTGGTTTTCAGTTGTACTTTACAGTTTCAGATTTCAACTTAATATTGCGTCTGGATGCATTATTTACCGTGAACTTGCTCAAAAAAATAAATAATACAAAATAAAAAGGGACTAGAATGGAGTTTGAAGTCAACTGTCATACCAGATAAAAGGAGACTAGAATATAACAATTTTAAAATTTGAAACGCATTCTTTATGAAGGGACTAGAATGTAGTTGAAATCAATAACAAGATAAAAGAGGACCAGAATATAATTTTAAAACTTTAGAAGCATTTTTTGGGGTTCGAACGCAATAAGAGAAACCTAAACCCATTTTCATCACTGTAAACCTACAAAAGTCTTAACTGATACAAAAGTCGCACACATCCATTATTATATTCTAATTACACAACTACACACATATAAGTTACTGGTTCTAGTCGATATATTTAGGCATCACGAGTGAGATCATATCATGATCTTAATCTCTTAGTCAACATTGGTGAAGCGCAGGTAGTCCTTCTTAGACGGCAGGTCCGCAGACTCGTAGCCCTGTGGGAACATGCTCTTGGCCTCGTCACTCGACACACTTGGCGAAATTACCACTTTGTCCCCGGGCTTCCAGTTGGCCGGGGTAGCTATCTTGTGCTTGCACGCCCTCTGTAGGGAGTCTAGCACCCTGACCACTTCATCCATGTTACGCCCCGTGCTCGCCGGGTACAAAAAGCTCAGCTTTATCTATACCAATCAAATAATCATTTATTCAATTCATCCAAAGCAATCAACGAATATCTAATTAACTAATAACCAACTAATCTAATCCAACCGTGAACATTATGTCCAAACATTAGTAGCTACGGTAGTGTTTTCTTTAACTCTTGAGCATATTTTTTCAATTTTTACTAATTAGTCGGTAATTTTTAAAATTACAAAAATAAATGAGAAATTTGTCATCATGTCATCTCATGTACAAAGGTTACTCGACATATTTTATAGTATATATATATAGGGCTCGCAATACCGAGCCGCAAAAAACCAAAAACCGAACCTAGCGAAAAAATAACCGAGCTGCACAACAACTTATAACTTACAAAACAACCGAATCACGATTTTTAACATAATAAAAAAAAAAAAAATTACACTAAAATTAAGCACATGGATGCACGGTTGGGCTCGATTTTTGATCTATCTCGATGTTTCTATACATTTTATTTAATTTGGTGAGTTTCAGTGCGGTCTGAAGAAAACTAAAAACCAAACCTAAAAAATCTATAACCTCAACTGTACAACCGCATCGAATTGCATGTTTTGGCACAGTTTTTCGGTTTCGGCTTGGTTTTGCACCCCCTAGTTATATATGCCTAAATAAAAATACCATCAAAAAAAAAAAAAAAAATTGACCTTCTTGTCGGGGCCCACGATGTGGAGGGCGCGAGACGGGACGTGGCCGCCGGAGGAATCCTTCTCGTCGGGGTCGACCATGTTGAGCTGCTCGATGATGTGGCGGTTTGGGTCCGCCGCGATGGGATAGGTGACCTTGGCGCCTTTGTTGTAGGCCTCGATGTCCTGGATCCACGTGTTGTGGGACTCCACGTCATCACACGACAGCCCTAACAGCTTCACTCCTCTCTCCGCAAACTTGTCCGCATAGGCGGCCATCATACCAAGCTCGGTAGTGCACACGGGCGTAAAGTCTCCTGCACACGTGCGCACATACATAAATTAGAGAATCAATTAAATGTTTGATTAATTATATTCTAGAAAAGCAAGTTATATATATGTTTGTCGGGAATGACCTGGATGAGAAAAGATGATGGTGAAGCTGTCGGCAACGTAGTCGTGGAGTTTGATCTTGCCGTGAGTGGTGTCGACCTCAAGGTCAGGGAGAGTGTCGCCGATGGTCAGCCCTGGCATTTTTTTTT